TAAAGCAGAATTTGAAGAATGGAAATATTTAAGATTTTTAATAAAAATGTCTATGCTTGTAGTGCATCAGCCATATTACATTCGTACGACCATGTGACCACGTTTTGATCACGCGTGATCATGTGACATCATTTGTCCCTCTTACGTTACATTAGTGTCGGTCCACAATAGGTGATTTAAGCTTTAAGAAGTAAGAAATTGACCAATTATAATCGAATATGAAAAAAATACTCGACTATGATTGGTCAATTTCTTACGGCTTAAAGATTAAATACTTATTGTGGACCGACGTAATACATAAGTTTTGGAGTTAACTTTCAGACTCAGTAAATAAAAGAGTTAGCAGTCTAGTGTATAGTATAAATGTCTATGATTTACATCGAGTTATATGAAGTAAATAGAGCGAACAAATAAAACGAATAATGCTGGCTGCAGACCAGCGCGATGACGCGACACGCGATACGCGATATCCAATGAGTACAGCTTTTCCGAGAAAAGCATGCCCTCTAGTGAGTGCATTTGTTTATACAGTCACTATCGCAGATGTTCATTTATTTCGTCTGCTAAAGCTAATAGAATAGAATAGAAATAGAAGACTGACTAAAACAAGCCAATTTTTGATTGGCTGGATACAGAATGGTGTAGCTAATCTGCACTAACTATGCATGCGAAAGAAAGAGAAATAGAAATGAAAGATACCCAAATAAAGATTTTAACATTTACATTTAAACATTTAATCATTTAAATATTTTATTACATATTAATGTTCGCCATTTTGTATCCAACTAAAGCCTTGATCAGTCTTCCATTTCTAGTGTCTCCACTGTCTGTGAAAGCGACTGCAGCGCAGTTCGTCGTTTGTGTACGCAGGGGTATGTCTCATCTACACAACTATCTCGAAAGTCATGCTTTGGACGATCTGCTTGCAGTACTGTATAAACGAATATCAAAATGAATTTCATTAGAATAAGAAACGAAAAAGATCAAAAACAAATAATTGATTCAAGTAAAATTGGAATAATAAGATATAATTAAAATAAGAATAATAAGATAAAATAAAAAAAGAACAATAAGAATAATATAAAAAATAAGAACAATAAGATATAATTAAATAAGAAAAAATAAGAATAAAAACTAAAAATAAATATAATTCACAAAAAATAAATATCTAATCTTTCAATAAAATTCATACATTAAACATTTTTATAATATCGTTTATATATATATAAATATTGTTTATATCAATTAAATGTAATATCAATAAAAATATTATCTTTTATATAATATAAAAATTTTATTACATTTTAATTATTCGAATATAAATATATATATAAAATTGTCTCTTTACTTATTAATCAAACATCAGCCCTCGAGAAAATCAATATTTCAGAAATTATTTTAAAACAGAGGATCGTTCCCTGACAACGTGTCGTGGGTTGTTCTGTGTAACGCGCTGTTTCATGTGTTGTGATTGTTTCGCGGAGATCGGTGGCGGACTAATTATACAATTACCTAAAGTTCTGATTTTTTGTAGAGAAGTATTGTTATTCCACGCGTGGCTCATCCGCATAACATGATTCGAAATCGTGACCGCCACGAGCGTGACATTATATACTAGACCGCTAA